TCTGTCAAAATCTTTCATGGAAAAACCTCAAAATATCTTTATTTTAAAAATTTCTCAAAATCTTATATGTTTACATACTATTTTTTCTTAACAATTATTTAGAATTATATCTTAGGTTAGCAAAAACACATACTCTATTATGGTTGACCAGAAAAATTTCACAAAACAGCCTTTGGAACACCTATACCCCCATTTTTGGAATATCTATTTTTCAATCTTTCTTCGCAAAATTTATTTTAAAAAGTAAATTTTAAAAGATGATATAGGCTTAAAATTAAAAATAAAATAGATCTCAAGTTAGTTTGTTTAAAAAAAATTAATAAGCTTTAGGTCCATATAGGCAATTGAGAATTCTCTGTCTGTGTATGTACTAAATTACATATAGATCCTATAGACAGAGTGCAAAGTGGTTATTCCTATAAATAATGTACATTAAATGCTTTGTGTGCACAATGACAATATATAATAAACAAATATATACTTGCTAAATTATTTTCAATTATACAAAATATTTTATTTCAATAGACAAATGATAATCAAAATTTTATATTGGTGTGTAAAATTAAAACCGGATCCGTAAAAGTGTGGACCTGCCTTAATTTTTTTTTATAAAAAAATATTTATGAAAATAAAACATATAATTTGTGAATATTTTTTAAACTTGTGGTTAAAATCTTCTTAAAACCAGCCACAACTGGGGAGAACATGTTCATTAATCATATTTATAAAAGAAATTGAAACGAAATGAACAAATTTTAGAGAAATTAATTTTTTTAATTTTGGCCAATCCCGATCAAAATTAAACCGATCCCGACCATAATTGTACAATTTTTGGAAATAAATAACATTTTCCTAAGAACACTGGTCTGATTAGGTGTTATAAGGGTTAAAACATTATAGAACCTGACAATAAAATAGATTTATTCATTGTAAATACATGAAGAGGCAATAAATTAGCATTTTATTCATTTTGTGTTATTTTTGATCGGGATCAGTTTAATTTTGATCGGGTTAGGTCCAAATATTAAAAAAATTAATTTCTCTAAAATTTCTGAAATTCGTTTCAATTTCTTTTAAAAATATGATTGACAAACATGTTGTCCTTAGTTTTGACTAGTTTTATGGTGTTTTTAACCATAGGTTTAAAAAATATTTACAAATACTGTGTTTTATTTTCATAAATAATTTTTTATAAAAAAAATCAAAAAGTCTAACCAGACTTTCTTTTCATATTTTATTAGGTATTCATGTGATGCATTCATTTACAGCAAAATTTTTACAAGAAAGCATCTAATTTGGATGTAAATAATTTTTTTCATTTTCTTTGAAAAAATACAAAAAAATTTATATAAAATAATTAAGAGCTAATATCGGCCTTTCAATGCTGAAACCATTGTTTAGAAAGGATGACTCATAGATCCATAAAATAAAAAAATGGTGTGGCATTCTACCTTAACTGCAAATTTCCAAGCATTTACTTTATATAAAACTCAAGATATTTAAAATAAAAATTTTAACTTAAGTCTGTTCTGTTTATGGTCTTGAAGCCTGGTACACGAGCCATTATTTTCACTGTCTGTGTAAAGGCCATCATGTCCAGTGGTTACCTACATCTAAAGCTATATTTTAGGAGAATTCATACATGTAAAACCACATATGCTTTTGCAAGTCATTTTATTCCACACGTACATTGATTTTCAAATTTAACTGAGTGTACATTTTCCAGTTGTTTGACACACTGGAAAATATTAATCATTTTTATGCTGTAAATTGATGCAATAAGAAAAGTAACGTTTTTAACTTATACGAGGGCTGTTTCATAAATAATGTCCTCGGTGCTCGGAAAGAAACAAAAGACGCTTTTCAATGATTTTGTCTTCGTAATATTACTTATTAATCTCTTTTAATTACAACACATGTCCGTAACCTTTTTTATCCAATTTCTGATTGATTTTAGAACTCATTTTTGGGTATGACCCTTGGTATACTGGAAAATGGCAGATCCAATGATTTCCTGGACTTGTTTCTTCCTTATCAAAGGTGTTTTTTTTTTTAAGTTTAGAAATATAAATAAGTCAAAAGGTCAAAGATCTGGCGAATATTGTTAATGTGAAAAAATATTTACTATCTGTGTATCCCGAAAATCCCTGTACTCTTCAGGGCGTGCGGGTTTGGACGCTGTCATGAAGAAATTTAATGTAGTGGATTCCTGATTCTGGGTCCTTCCTCTAATAAACCACAGGGGCATCTTATCCACTCTGTTCTCTACTTCACATATAAAAATACACTTTTATATGTGAAGTAGAGAACAGAGTGGATAAGATGCCCCTGTGAATAAACCTTTCGATTTTTTGGCAAAAAATTGTTTTCTAGCCTCATCCAGAAATTTAACTGTCTCCCCAAATACGATTTGAACAACAATACCACTAATATTTAAGAAAATTGCATGTAAATCTGTATTTGTGCTCTTGCAATTCTCTGCTCTTCTCAGACCTTCCCTGTTTTGTCAAGTACATCTTATGGTAAATTTTGTTTTGAGGAATTTAAGCAATTGATTCAAGTTCCATTATCTGTTTGAATATCCAAAAAACGTGGATAACTCCAATTACTGATATTTTAAAATAATTGTTAAGACATTCATACATGCTGTCGTTTTCACTCATTTTACAAAATATAGGGTGACCTTTGAGTACTAAGCTTTTTTACCGTCAAACGTTTTTCAAAAACAGTGTAAACTACCCCCGATGTGATGTCTATCAAATTTGCTATTTGTCTTAAAGTTAATCCTACATCATCAAGTATTTTTTGTTGAAATTTGGCAAACAGTACATAAGTGTTATAATTTTTTGTTGGCAAGGACGGTACCCATTTTTGATGCCCATTATATAATTTGTTATCATTTAAATCCACCTGCTTATTTGTCTGTAAAACAGGTATTGGTTGCTGTAAATGTCATATATTTCAGTGAATATTTCTTTGGGATTTTAAAAAGCTTTACAGCAGCTTTGTTTAAACTTTTATTTTCACTCTAGTTTATCAATTCTTTACCATTCATTTATAATGCAGTGTCTCGAAAAGCCCTTGTTTCCCAGCTTCTCACAATGACACTATGTGATGCAAAGTGATCACATAAACTGTTATAAATTCATTAAAGATTCAATTATGAGAGAAAGCCAATTTTAATGTCATATGATATCTGTATTGTATGTCATACAGTTCAGGACATTATTCATTGAACAGCCCTCGTACTTGTATCTGTCTGTTTACTTCTCCGTTGTTTTATCAAGTCTATTTATTTCTGTATAAATTACTCATGTAAGTGGATGAAAGAAAATCGTCAACTTAATTTCGTACTGTAACATTTCTTAATTGTCACCTGTATATGGGGTCTATGTTTCTCAGTTTATTTGGATAGGCTGCTTAAAGCATACTTTAAAAAGAGTCAATTTCTTATTCGATGAAAAGTATTGAAAAGCATGTTGATATTTGAAACATGTAGAGATAACGAACAGTATTCAAGATCAAAAGTCCATAAAACAATACGAAATAGGAGCAGAGCAAACACGGACTTCCAAAATATCGGAGGTGGGATCAGGTGCCATGGAGGAGTGAGCATCCCCTGCCGACCGGTCGCACCCGCCCTGTGCTTCTTGTCATAGTCGGGAAATAACAAAAACATCTGTTGTCAATACAGTGTAACCGTTGGGGCGAGCGCAGTTGTATCATCAAAACACTTGAAAAATTGACCATTCACTTGTAACATCAAGCCGCACGAGATATCTCGACTAGCTGTGACGTCACACGACGTCACGGAGCTCAACGAAGCTTACGGAGACAGCCGACGCCTAGTTGAAACTATAGACCTTGTGCAATTTTGGTCGAAAAACATTACAGAGTTTTTTTTTGTTACTTTGAAAGATTTCTACAAACTTTTATGCTTTACGTAGTTATTTATATATTAATTTATTCGCGCAAAGGACATTTGATAGTAAAGGAATTCTGGGAATTTTTCACAAAGAAATTTGCCTGGCGTATGTACAGATTTCATTTTCGATTCTCCTCTGTTCTTACACGTTAGTCTATTGACGCTCGCTATAATTAATGGACTTGCAATTAGTATGAAAACGCCTGTCACATGCATTTGACTCAATGATAAATTGCATTTGCTGACAAGGTCATTGTTTCGACGATAGAACTTACGAAATGATGACTTTAAACAGGACAGTTCTTGTTCATCAACTTGTCGATAATTTACCTCGTTTTAGAAATACGCTCTTGCGTATCGAATAAAAGTGTTCTGAAATATATTAACTCCGTATGCAGGCGATGAAGGTATATTGCTGCATAAGAAAGGGAAGTTGAGGATAGAAAAGTAAAAGTCATCACGCTTATCATATAGCTTGGTTGTTAGATTACCATTAACGTCTTTTCAGGTGAAATATCCAAATATGAAACAGATTTGTCAGACAAAACAAGCATTATCAACATTCTCTTCTGAAGTCATCATTTCGAAAGTTTTGACCTTGTCAGCATTTTTCATAATAGTTGTTAAACAATTATTAACACACTGAATTGTCTACGAATTTTTCGGTTGTTCCCGGTCATGACAAGGAGCATTTGGAAGGGAATGCTCACTCCTCCATGTCACTTGATCCTACCTCTGAGAATTTTGGAGGTCCTTGTTTGCTGTGCTCCTAATTTGTATTGTTTGTGTATTGTTTAAATGGGTTTTAAGCTTGAATACTTTGCGTTTCTCCGTATTTCCTTTTACTGTTGGGAAATCTTTCAAATATATGATTTTTAAAAATAACCAGATTGTTATTGTAACAAATGGTTTATAAAATAAAGTAAAATGTATTTAATGGATGTATATAAATATTATATTTTTGCATTACATAGTTGTTCCGGCTAAACAAGGGCATGTGGAACTTTGCAATAAAATGGAACAATTATTGAATCAATATTAAAAAAAAAAACCAAAACAAACAAGTCAACAAAGATTTTTAAACAATCCTTCATTTATCATTTATTTCTTTCAACTAACAATATAAATAAATACGTAAAAAAAAAAAAAAAAAGCTAGCGGCCCCATTCAACAACAATAATACATATACCGACCAATTCACAAAAATATTGTTTTTATTCTATTGAAACGAAAAGTAAAATTAACTCATTATTATGTATATATTAAGCAAATACATTTAAACATCCCTATAAAGTTTATCAAAATGATGCACTCAGAAAGCGTTAGATTTTTTATAGAAGACTCCAAACTATGAAGGCGGGGATTACGATTAGCATGGTGGTGGATCCAAGATTTGACGCTTTGCTCCCTAAAATGCAGATAAAATGATAAGCATATTATAATAACACCAACACCAATCATCGGATGTCACAAGTAAAGTATGTTAATGTAATACACATGTATATATCGTAAAACCACTGATTTTAAGTTTGTATCTTAAAAATCTCTAATCAAAGTCGTAATCCCAGAATTTACATGTAATTGACAAAGATTACTAAATAATGTGCACTGGAGATATTTCACAAATCTTCTTCTCTTCTTCGTTTGTAATGTGCCTGACACCAATGTTGGGTATTATCGCACATCTTCTTCTCGTAAAACCATTTATTTAGAGATCAAGACGGCTGTTACTTTTTATCATGTGCTTATTTTGTAATTATTAAAATAGACTAACCCCAGCTGTGAGTACAACATTGCCCTCTTTTTAAATAAATACAGTTTATAAAATTTGAAAGTCAATACAGTTTATAAGATGTATGATACACTCTATTAAGAAATTACACACGGTAAGATTTTGTAGTATAATACAAATATCCTGATACAAATCTTACCGTGTATACCGTTTTTGGAACTTGAGTCCAATCCTTTTGACATATTGCCAATAAAATATAGGGAAAACAATTGTCAAATTCATAGTTCATAGGAAAGCCTCCTCTTTTATCATTCTCATAGAAGAAAATTTTTAAAATATATCATGCTGCACAAAATGTTAAAAAGGGGGATTTTGATTTAAAAAACTCGAGTGAAGTATAACTTACTTAGAGGTGTTCCATCGGCACTAAGCAACTCTCCAGCTGCAAGAAAAAAAGAAGTTTACCTCAAAGCAGAATATATTTGTTATATTGTCAAAACTTGATAAACTCGTGAAAATTGTAAATGTCCTTTCCCATTTGTTGACGTACCTCTGCAGAAATTACAGGTAGCTGCACAATTCGACTCCATATAACTCCTGACGAACTGCAGCTCACAGAAGCCTCGGTCCCTCAGCAGACCACACGACTGTCCCATGTCCTCACAACGCTTCTGGGCTGAAATATTTTATGAACATGGCGATCATCACAAGAAATTCTTTTAAAATAAGTTTAATCCCAACAACTGTATTTGGTCAAGGAATTGCAACTACCTAGATATTTTCACGTCCTAGTTCTACCGATTTCATCTGATCTTAGTTTTTATGTTCAATATTATTTTGCCTAACCTTTTCTCCCACTATCACCTCCATTACAATAGAATTTTTTGGTCTATTTTTTGTGCCTTTTTATTTTCCCCAGCCGTTTGTACGACTGATACTCACCATTGCACAAGTTGCACGATTCCTTACAGTACATCTCCATGTACCGACTTCTAGTACAGTATCCCTCCCTGGCCCAGTAGGCACAGAATCGGTTCATATCCTCACAGGCTCCTATAGAACAGAAAACACCAAACAAATTAATAAAACAAAAAAAAAACCAAAGAAATCAATGAAACAAAACACCAAACGAATTAATAAAACAAAACACCAAACAAATCAATAAAACAAAACACCAAAACAAATCATAAAAACAATACACCAAACAAATCTATTAGAAAGGCAAAAAGCTTTTGGGGACAATACGCGAAAAATGCTTATCAAGAGTCGATGACTATCTCGCAAAAATAAGGTGTCGCGAAAATTTAGTGATCTACAGTATTAGAAAGGCAAAAAGCTTTTGGGGAAATAATGTCTGTCTGTCAATAGTGTTAAACTTTCATGGTAACCAAGTCTATGGAACGCTAATTTCTTTGAAGCGACATTAACAGATATAATCTGGGGGTGGGGTGGTACCTTCTGTGGGGGTGGTGGTTCTGATGGTGGAGGAGGAGACGGAGGTGGTGGTGACCAGGGTGGTGCCAGAACAGTTCTGGACCGGGTTGCTGGGGTTGTTGGTGGGACATTTACAGGAACAGTCCTTGCCGACAAAACCTTCTCCCGGACAACTCTGGGCGGGGCAGTCCTCTGAAGACAGAAAAAATTAGTTTTTATAAGTCAGGAGTAACAGGAGACAGTTTTAAGGTTGACATACTGGTTGATGTAGGGTCATACCTGCACAGTTGTACATAATGTTGGCAAGCTTGATGTCGTTGTAGCTGAGTCCGGGTGCTCTACCGATGATATTTTGGAATCGGGAGTCTATTGTCTGCACGGTTATTTGACCGTTAGTTGAAAAATCCTGAAATTTGCAGAAATAAATTTTGATTAACATGTTTTACTAATTCTTTATTTAAATGAAAAACTGGGGCTTATTTCATTTTCGTAAAAGGGATCCAATACCGCTATTTCTATAGGACAAAGATTTTTTTAGCATCAATAGAAGTATATAGTTTTTGAAAAAAAAATACCCTGGCTCCGTAGTGCATCACGCTTCTGTAATCGTAAGGTACTTCGAAATTATTGACTCGGCTCGTGGGGAGCCTGTTGAAGTTAAAGAGGACCGGCTGGGGTATATTTTCTGTGCGTATCCGGACAAACCCGTCCCTGTCCGGTCTGGATTGTTCATGTTGGAATCCCACAGCGTGTCCCATTTCATGGACCACGATTCTTCTCTGAAACATGGAGGATGTCAGTTTATTTATGTTTTAATCTTCGTTTCTGTGCAACAGCAGAAAACATTTAGTAGGTTTGGAAAGACCATACAGGTCTAGTCAAACACACAGCTAGCATTGTACTTTAAGATCAAAATAAAATATTGCATTTAGTTTTTTAAAAAGGAAATTTATCATTTGTTTTGTTCTCGTTTTAATTTTAATTGTAAAGCTACAAAACTTCGTTTCATTTTCATTTTTCTTTGATTAAAAAATTGCACATTCTGTATTGCAGAAGTTCAGGTTTAGGAAAAAAATATTGGAAAGAGGAATATCTGTTTATGAAGTGTGAAATGGTCTTACTATACGACATCCCCTGGCCAAGCTGATTGGCTGAACATTGCCAATTGTCCCAACAAAAGACGAACACCTAAGACAAATCGAGGCTTTAATCAATATCAATAATAATGTCAACATGTTTTCTCTCTTAAAATTATTTTGTAATATGTAAATAGGTTATTTACAGAGCTACATAAAAAAAGATATACATGCAAACTCACCCTTGGCCATTCTGGAATCTGACGGCTCGGGATTCGCCATCTCTTCGTTGGAACACGACACAGGTCTCTCGGTTCCAGTCGTCGATAGCGAGGTTAATCTGACGCAGTTCTGACTGAGCTGAAAGTAGAAGTTAAAACTGCTTCAACGATTATCATTGTATTTAACATGATAAAAAAAACCCATATATTTTGTAACATAATCCTATAAAAAATGTTCAATTAATAGTTTATTTATCTAGTTTACCAATTAAAAAAAAACATTTCAATCAACGTGTAGTTCCATGTTATAATAAGTTTTTATTATTCTAGTAAAACTCACAAAATGTGTTTGGTGCAATTTCATAAGGAACTATTTTATTTGGCCATCTGCTCGTTTCGGATCGGATCGCTTTCCTCTTCTTTCTCCTTCCCATTTTATCTTCTGCCATTCTTAAAAATTGTAAAACAGTATAATTATGTTAAATTTTTATTGTAAGAAATAGACAATAAGTTGAGAATATGTTGTGACAGTGCGTGATGATATGTTAAGGCGGTGCGTAGTGATTTGCTGTGGCGGTGAATGGTGTTTTGATGGGGCAGAGTGTGATGATAATATGCTGTGAAAGTGCGCAATGATATGTTAAGGTAGTGTGTAATGATATGTTTTAAGGTAGTGCATGATATGTTAAGGCAGTGTGATGATATGTTAAGGTAGTGCGTGCTGATATGTTAAGGCAGTGCGTGCTGATATGTTAAGGCAGTGCGTGATGATATGTTAAGGTGGCCGACTATAGTTTTATTGTGTGAAAAATACAATAGCGAAACTCTTCATTTTTATACCATATATAACTTACATTAACTTCAGTGTACATGCAAAGTTTGGGGGAAATCTACCGTCCAGGTATTTTTGAGGGACCGTCTCAAAATACAGGTACATTTACTATAGGATTATATAGGAAAATGCCAATTTTTAGCACTTAAAAGAAAATTATACAAATACTACAATTGAAATTTTGTTCAAACTATATTATTATACCTCATTATAAATATTCTACACATCGCGTTATCTGATTGGTTCTAGGTTATCACGTGATCGGGCCGTAATACTTCATATTTCCCGTCGTCGGCACGCTTTTCATCATATTCCACCTCTTCGGAACACCTAGTGAATTTTCCCGCAATATAGTTCTCGTTCGTTGAACGAAAACTGCAGAGAGTAGTAGACGTCACAGTAGCCTGGTTTACGTCACAAAACTGATGACAATGTGTTGACCAAAGGGTTTTATAGTTAACGTTAACAATGGTGTGAATTAGAGAGCGGTGCCGAATTTGAAAGTTTATGTCTATTTCAAAGGTTTTGCTTGTTTCGGTATAATAAACAATTCATTGCATGAATGTTTGGGAAACATGAAGACTTATTCAGCCAAGAAATATCATATTCCCCTCGGGCGAAGCCCTCGGGGAATATATTTTTCTTGGCTGAATAAGTCTTCATATTTCCCTCACTATCATGCAATAAATGTATAATATTTGATGAGTAATACTATATTATACAATATATGTAAGAAACACAACATTCTACCGTCTTGTTACCAGAGGGGACATCTCAAAATGCAAAAAATTAGCAAATTTTACTATTTTTTTAGAGTATTACAAAATATGACGCACACAATGGATTCACATGAAAACATAATAAAAACTTTTAATAATTAAGCAAAACCGTTGCATTAAAACCGTAAATACGCTTCATTTTACTATGATGCGCGAAATATTGCGTAATGGAATCTATAGTCGGCCCCCTTAAGGTAGTGCGTGGTAAAATGTTTAGGCAGTGCGTGGTGATATGTTAAGGTAGTGCGTGGTGATATGTTAAGGTGTATGGTGATATGCTTAGGTAGTGCGTGGTGATATTTTAGTTTTTATGATACCTTTCTTTTTCTTGCTGCATATAATCTTCTAATGTCATCATTATGTCGTGTTCTACTCTGACGGTAGGGTTCTCGCCTGATGCACTGGACACCAGATCAAAACTCATACCTACGTACAGAAGCAAATCACAAAATTTTATTTACAATCGCTCTGTTTATAGGTGTTCAGAAAGAAATCACCTAACATAATAACATTCAAAGAGCACACCCGTGAAGGGTGCAAGAAAAATAATTTTTAACGGTCAAACTCATTGTTGTTGTTTTGCTCATGTCTCAAATTGACTCATTCTTGCCAAGAGGATTATCATAGCATGTATTGGTTTGTTCCGGTGCAAAATGTTGACCAGGGAGGCAGTCTTCTAAATTGGAAAGTCAACTTAATCATTCTGATAAGAGAGGAAATCTTTGCTTGTCAAAGGTGAATTTTATGACACTGGATTGTATATTTTGTCACATTTGCCTTAGAGAGTTGTTTCAAGTGAAATAAATCATTGACAATTAAAATAAAATCATTTAAATCAGCTTTGTTAAGCTTTGTATATATATGTTAATTGCTGAAATAATAACAAAATTGATGGAGGGAACTTTTATACTCTTTTACTCATAAGTACGCAACAGGAAATGGTCACTACGAGATGTTAACACAGACATGCCCCATAACCCTGTAAATGTTTGTTGGCTGAATTATTCTGCACTGGTATGCTTTGTGTATAATCCGCCTTTGAAAAGCGGACATATTTATTTAGGATATAATTCCATTAGTGACTTGTTGCCACCAGCACATTCTTTTGCGCGTTACATTTTGAACATTAGGATGCAGATCAAAGAAAACAACCAGTCTAATTCCAACTTTTAACACTTGCAAGAGGAAAGTTATTTAATTATCAGTCCTTAGTAAGATAAGAGAAGGTAGCGAACAAAAAGTTTGATTACCCCTGCTCCAGACTTGTAGTGATGCAATAGTCTTCTGAGATTGTTCTGAGCTTGTTGGTAATCTACTACTAATTTCATTCAAACAACCCTTGTTATTACTTTTTTCAAGCCTTGCAAAATTGGATGTTGAAAAAATCGAGGATAATGAACAGCCTTCTGGCTCAGAAAATCTACAGACCACTTTTTGCATTCATATGGAGAAATCTTCTTTATAAACTTAAACAGGAGTAAATGAAAACACGCGCTGTGACATTCAGCTAGAGATTTAATAGATACTCGTATATCGACGATGTTTTAACAATTAACAATAGGTACTTCCATTCATATGTCGACTCGATATATCTAAGTTAACTTGAAGTAAAAGATACCACGTCTGACACATCTGTTCAGGTATTTTACTAGAAAAAAAAGTTATTGGTAATCTAACACCCAAAACAAGATAATTTCAATTTTTCAATCGGCACTTTGTCTTGCATGTATATCATTAGACCCTTGACCTCTGCATATGAATTTAATGAATTTAGCAAACATGTATCCGATCGGCAGGGGATGCTCACTCCTATATGACACCTGATTCCCCCCTCGTTTTTTAGGTCCGCGTTTGCTCTGCTCACGATTTGTAATGTTTGAATAGAATTTTGGAGCTTGAATACCAGTCGTTATCACTATATTCCATGAAATACAAATCCGCGATAAGAGCAAAAAACACAGACCTATGGAAATTGCAGAGGAGGGGTCTGGTGCCCAGGAGAAATGTTTTCCTGTTTACCGATCACACCGGCCCGTCCTAAGACCTATATATAGATAAAGCTAATGAAACATTCCGCAGTCAAATTCAGTATAAAATCAAATTCCCATTACTTGATTGCAATACGTCAATCAGAATATGACCTGACGATAGGTTAATCTGATTATTAAGATCATTATATGGACAACAGAATAAAGGAATGTTGACTTTAAACAAGACGGTTGAAATCCTTGTAAAATCAACTATCAAACTAAGCGTTCTTGTAGCAAGCTCGTGAATATCGAATAAGTAAAAGCGGAATATTGCTACATTAATAAGAAAATCTACGATGGAAAATATGAAGTCATGTTCATACAGTTTTAAATTAGTTGTTAGTTGGTACTTACCATATATTGTCATTGAACATTCAAATATGAAACAGATTTGGCAAACTCTTTCTAGCTGTGTCTAAAACTATACTGACTATACAATCAATTGTAATAACATCGACGATATACCTGCATGAAAGTCTATATAGTTATAGACCATAACAAGTGTTTTTTACTTCTGATGTTTTTGAATAATTTCTCATGAATTATTAAACGGCTTCTAAAGGATCACAATTATAGTGTCAAATTTAATTCCAACTGTTTGTTGGAAAACCTGATTTCTGAAGAATACTAAATGTTGTCAAAGAAGATCTCGAGTATCCTTTTTATTTATCCCGAGGAGGGGTTGGATAATGCGTAGAAAAGTCGATGGTTGATGATTCGGACTTAAAAATAACGCATCCCCTTCCATTTTTTAAAACAAAAAATAAGCGATAACTGGAAAACTTTGCATCCATGAACGGTTCTGAACTAATTTATACCCGTCAGTTAGTAAGTTAATTGTAAAAATGATTTTAATTGAGAAATTGATCAAAAGGTATTCAAAATGAAAAACTGGAATTTGCTTTCCTAAAGATTACCAATATACTGACCGGCGTTATGAGGTAGGTAAGATAAAACTTTTCTAACGAGATCAAACGGTTCTTGGAATTTTGTACTTCGGTATTTAGACATCTAGACCCAATAAAAAACAGTCCACGGACACGTGGGCACTGAACATAAAACATCATATTGACCTACTGTCATTGGTGGCTTCCATCATTAGCTCGTCAATTGTTTTTTCTTCCATGGCATCAGCCTAAAAAAAAAAAAAGGATGGAATCAAACATTAAAATGTAATTTTTAAAAATACGATCACAATGTACAATATTAAATCAATTGCTTCTTTCCTTTTTTGCATTTCATTTTTGCACATTTTTATAACAAGAAAAATAAAGTGTGGATTTTTTAATTTTACAAATCTATACTTATCCAATCAGAAATTAAACATTTTCCCCTACCATTAGGTACAAACACGTTGCTATAAAAAGTCCTAGAAACTTCATTGTAGTGGATCTGTTGATCTGAGGGGTTTAGGGGTAAATTGTATCGTTTTTGCCTTCCCCCTTCCATTTATATAGGTTTTAGCCGTGAGTCACTTCGTGTACGTAATAATGAGCTCTCGTGCAAATTTCGGGTGCAATATTCTTACTTTTGCATGTATGACAAGGTTCACCTACGAAACAATGCCAAGCCGTAAATTTATATTCAGAATTACGAATTAAAATAATTTTTTTTTAATAAAAGCATTAACTAATGTGAGAGGTGTATCACATGTTCAGAGAAATTATAAAAATAAAAACACTTTATATACTTATCCTATAGAATTTAATTGTGAAGCTTGGCCAGGAAATTGGAGTCATTTAACAAAAAAGTAAAACGAGAAACTTAGCATTTCTAGAGGTTGGTGGGTGTCTTTATGATTCTCCTGATTCTACAGAAAAATAGAATATAGTACGATAATTTTTTTCTTTCAGAAATGTGTACACATAATTCAATTATTGTACTGCAATTTGAATATACAAATGTTCAAGATTTTTTTGTAAAGGACAATGTCTAAAACCTTTTTTTAGATAATGTAACACAGATACATATTTGGACACTCAAGGCCGGGGTTTACTGATGTACACTCAGCCCCATGGTCGGATCTCATCGGATGAGTAGTATAAGAGAATGGCCGACTTCCTCTACTCCTTCACTGAATCATCATCCTGTACGGAATTCCGTGACTTTCACTTACCCTGTCAATATGTGATTCGCTACATATCCAAATAGGAACAAATTAAACTTGCTTTCTCAATGACTAAAAGTCTACAGTCTTAAAATTAAATTATCAAGTTTCTGCATGAAGAGCACATCAAACTAGGAGTTTTTCTTTCTCATTTAAGTCTTTCAAATACGGGAAGCAAATGAATAATTCGTATTCAGAAACACTACTAGACTTATTCATTGCAAATGTTTTACTTTGCTTTTTTTCTTTGAGTGCAAGAAGAATATCCGACGTGCTTAAATTTAAAATGTTCAAGTTATTTATTTTTTTTATTATATTGGAAAACTCATAAAATCAATAGTCATTTTAAAAAAAATGTTTAATTGCCTACTTAAGTAATGCTATGTAATACTTATCACAACAATAAGGGGATCTTCCGCCCCAAAGTATTTACATTTCATGATGTTCCTAGAACACTATATATGGAGGAGAACGGATCAGGTTTCTTTCTATGTAAGGAGATACATCATAAATGAATACTAATCAATCCACTATAGGTACGCTTGGGAATTCTAACAGATTGTTTGGAAACCAGATCTCCAAAAAACCATATGATTGTATGTCAGTTTTGAATATTTTTAATATCCCAAAGAACCAAAATGAATTTGAACCACCATTTATATATTGGATTCCGAAACATCATAAGAATCTTTACAAACAAAGATACATCTATTAGAAGGTTCCAGTAAATATTCAACCAAGCCTCTTTCTTTAATTCTCACTAACTTCAAGAGTACTGTGCAACAATATATTCAATAAGTGGTGTAGATACTTAATAATTCCAAGGAACTTTTGGACAATTTAAAATCATAAGATTTTACCAAAATCAACAGCTTAAAAACTTACGACTTTTCAACTTTATACACAACCATTCCCCACAATAAATTAAAGTCCAGACTTTTTGATATCATTGACAGCTGCTTTTTCAATAAGAATGGAACTCGTAAATTTACTTACCTTGTCATTGGTCATTTGCAAAATAATTTTGTTAAAAAACATTCTGATTGTACACACAAGTACTCTGAAGTTGACATCAAAAAGATGCTTGAGTTTCTGATTGACAATATCTAAGTTGTTTTAGGAGACCAGGTCTTCCAACAATCTATTCGAATTCCCATGGGACCAATTGCGCCCCGTTATTGGCAGAACCATTTTTGAATTCAAATAAAGCAGAAATTGTGCAAAATCTTATACTTGTATGAAAAGAAGGAAACACTTATGGCCTTCAACTCGACATTTAGATATATCGACGACGTAAAGTGTATTGTCAATTAACAATGGTAATTTCTATTCTTATGTCGATACGATACATCCTCTGAGCTCGAGATAAAAGATACCAAAGAGTCTGAAACATCTGTTTCATATCTGGATATTTTTCTGTAAAAAGACTTAATCTAGACGGTAATCTAACAACCAAGCTCTATGACAAACGTGACGACTTTAACTTTTCTACCGTCAACTTTCCTTACTTATGCAATAATATACCTTCATCTCCTGCATACGGAGTTAATGTATCTCAGTTGATTCGATACGCAAGAGCATGCTCTACGTATGATTAATTTCTAAACGAGGTAAATTATTGACAAACAAGTTGATGAAACAAGAATATCAACAATCTCGTTTAAAGCTATCATTTTGTAAGTTCGACACAATGGTCTAGTCAGAAGATACAATTTATCATTGAGACAAATGCTGACTGACTTTTTTCATACTAATTGTTAATCCATTATTTATACAATGAATTGTCGACGGATTTTTCCGTTACTTCCCGATCACGACAAGGAGCACACGGCGGGTGTGACCGGTTGCAGGGGATGCTCACTCCTTCATGGCACCTGATCCTTCCTCGGGTGTTTTGGAGGTTTGTGTCTGCTATGCTGTTATATTTAATTGTTTTATGGACTTTTGATCTTGAACACTGTTCGTTATCTCCATATGTTTCATGGATATTGTCAATCAGAAATTCAGCATCTTTTTAACATCAACTTTAGAGTACTTGTATACAATCAGAAAGTTATTTTAACAACAACAAAAAAATGACACACGACCGATGACACGGTAAGTAAAGATTTACGAGTTCCATCTTATTGAAAATAATGAAAAAGCAGCTGTCAATGATGTCAAAAATTCTCGAAATAATTGTGAGGAATGACTGTATATATAAAGAGTTGAAAAGTTTTGTGTTGATTTTTAAAATACTGAACATTGCATACATTTACAATTTCGTGTTCAGGATACTTAATTATGTAACAGGAAAAGGAGAAAATTGATTTTAAGCACTATATTCACATAAAATACAAAATTGTGGAGTATATGTGGATTTGTATATTTGCTTGAATATGTGAGAAAGAGTGAGAAAGAAATGGACATGAAAAAGATTTTCTCAATGACTAGAAAGTTACATTTAGTATTTGTGAATTACAAGATAAAATGCCACAAGCACGGATTCAGACAAGGCGCACTCTTTTGAGAGAGAGAGAGAGAGAGAGAGAGAGAGAGAGAGAGAGAGAGAGAAACGATATGCTTTATCTAAGGTCTATACAGTGTATATCTAGTAAGCGATCTCATTAAAAAGTTATATCAATAAAAAGTATCATAACCAAAATTTCGACATGTATGCCATTTTGAGACTATCAAAGCACCGGCAGGGAGGGGAGGGGGTATATACATATATCTTATTTTATAAAATCCCCGTTTGATTTATTCAAGAGGTCGAGGGACTTTGTTTTAATAAATTATTTATTGTCTGTTCCAAACTGACCAAGAGCCCCCTATTTTTCTCTCTGAAATGTCAGCTGTGACATTCTACGTAGTACTATCTTAAATTAACAAACACTCTTTGTATCACTTTTCTAGTCACCGTCCTCTAAAACACCGACAATTTTTATATTTCTCACATTTTTAATTGAACATACAAACCCTCCATTCTTTAGTACGATTGTTTACCTAAATAAAATACAGTATTGTTTAAAACCTATGAATTATCCTAACCATGTCATTCTGCATAATTACCATTTTAAAGTGTCGCATAAAGATCATAATGATACATTTGTAATCCATAGTAAAACAGTTCTTTTAATGCACTATATGAATGGATTAATATTCTACATGAAACATATGGCGATAACGAACTGTATTAAAGATCAAAAGTCCATAAACATTACAAAATAGGAGCAGAGCAAACATGGACCTCCAAAACATCGGAGGTAAGATCAGGTGCCATGGAGAAGTGAGCATCCCCTGCTGACCGGTCACACCAGCCTTGTGCTCCTTGTCATGATCGGGAAATAACGGGGAAATCCGTCGTCAATTCAGTGTATAAATAATGGATAACAATTAGTAAGAAAAACGTCGGTCAGCATTAGACTCAATGATAAATTGTATTTGCTGACAAGGTCATTGTATCGACCAAAGAATTTACGAAATGATGACTTTAAACGAGACTGCTGAAATTCTTGTTTCGTCAACTTGCTTGTCAATAATTTACCTCGTCTTAGAAATTGTTCATACGTAGAGCATGCTCTTGCATATCGAATCAACTAAGATACATAAAGTCCCTATGCAGGTTGATGAAGATATATGTTTTATCGCATTTAAGACATACTTAGGTCAGGTCTACCGGTGGTCTAAGGTTATTTTTTACTTAATTAACTTGGTCTAAAATAGCAATGTACTTATTAGCAGTATAGCAGAGCAATTTTTGCTCATCATAATAGTTGGATCAAATCCAAGTCGATCTTAAAAAGATGCAATAGTGCTTCTCCTTGACAATATGGGTTTGTAGGTTTCGCAGGCCAGCAGGCTCCAGGCTCCGGGGTCATAACACTTAGACGAACTCACTTTTGATTTCAGTCTCACTTTTATCGTTGGAATTAATGGTAGCATTTTTAAGTAAGACTGAGATCAAAAGTGAGCTCATCTAAGTTTTATGGCCCCGGGGCCTGGATCAAGAAACAGATTTAGATTGTGACCTCCAGGGGTCAATAGGTCACTAGAAGCACAAACATTGACATTATTATATAAGGTATAAATTCGATCAAATGGACATAACGCAATTACAATTTACAGAATGAACGTTTAATAAATAATGGAATAGACAGTTTATCATAAGAATGAAAAGTGTTTATTTATATTTTTCTTTTACAGTTGAAAAATTTTATTAAAGAACTTTAAAACATTGATATTCCCATGATTTTCCTGTTGCCCCAGCAAAGAAATTAATTTTAAAATTAATTAATCCTGGTCACAATACTGGGCTAAACATGTTTGAAAACAATCTTCCAACAATTTGCAAATGAGGGCGTATGTGAAAACTTTAAATATTTTGCTGAAGAGCCCATAATAAAT